AAAGTGGCGTACGCAAGTTTCTGGGCTCAAATTGTGCGTACGCCAGTTTTATAAATCTGACCCCTGGTCTGGAGAGGGGCGGGGTCTGAAGCGTCTYGTTTGGATTTAAAGAGACAGCTTCAAAACGAGTTGAAAACCTTAGAAAATGGGTAAAAGAGAGGCTTGTGGAGTTACAATAAGGAGGATTTCTGACCAAAGCATTGCAGTTTCACTTTATATAAACCCAAACTGAATGATTTTAATGTGAGAAAGAAGGATTTAAAAGCAGGATATGTCTCCTTTAAGTCTGGGGTCTGTCTGTGTCGAGTTCTTGGGTTCTTTTCATGTTTGAGTGGGTTTTCTCTGAGTAGAGTCAAAGCTGGATAAATCTCTTTCTGGTTCAGTTTTGTCACTCCTCTTACCTCTATGTTTGTCACCAAACCTGAAACTGATGATGGAGCAGACAACTCATTAATTGTTGATAATAACCTGAGAGAAGAGCCTTGTTAATTACTGCAGGGACTAATGAACAAAATGGTTGTACTTGGGTATTTTACAGCACTGTGGTGCTCAACTTACTTCAAGTGTGAGGTTTCAATTGTTCTTTTAAGACCAGCAACAGGAAGCATTATGAAAACTCTTCTTTCAAACAATCAGAAATGACAAACACCATTTGCACTGAACAGCTTCTCAAAAAAACATTTATACTGTAACAAGCCTCCAGTCTCATGCTGCTGCCAGAGCCTGTGGTCTTGGAAATGGTTTTAATAAACATCTTTTTTCCATATCCCCTTGTACTATTACCAAGAGTAAGAAAAACATGTCAGTTTGTATTTAACACTGCAGATTTAAGTTTATATTTTTGTGTCACATGATGCTTAACTTCAAACTAAAATTAAATCATATTGACAAGATATTTATTTGTCCCAAGTGGCTTTATTTCATAATTAAGAAGAGCACAACTTTAAAGTCTCGCTTTCTTGAAGATTTTTAACTTCATGAAAACAAGTCTGTTAAACTTGACTTTAACATTTCATTTGATACAGTGTTGTGTTTGTGACAAGCAGGGATTAGAGATAAAAGGATGGAGGACAGATGATCAGGTGGAACAGCATGAGAAGAGCTGTTGTGTTTTTCATCAACAGATTTGCCACATAAGTTTCCACTGGACTCAGCTGGTGTCTCACTTACATTTGCTTAATTGAAATATTATCTTTGGATAATTAGCAATGTTTGTTTTTGTTATAAGCAAGAGTGCACCTACTGATGACATCACTACACACATAATCAAATAAACAAATAAGCATACACATTTTTTTCATAAACAAATTAAAATGTTTCCAGTTAAATACATAAATTAAATGACAAGGTTATTATTATGTTCCTGTTAACTTGTTATTTGACACGTACAGTAATAAAAATCAGGATACAAATAGTTTGATTTTAAAGATGAGAGCTCAACTCAGCTTCAACCAGACATTATCAGAATTGGGAATGTAAGATGTGTCAGAGCTTCAAAAAATCAGGACAACTTATTACACCTGTAACAATGAAACATTTAGCCATATTTGATAAAAAAAAAACTTTATGCTCTTTAATGTCTCAATTAAAGGCATCAATGTGCAGAGTTGTAAAGTAACTAAGTACAAATACTTTGTTACTGTACCTAAGTAGAAATTTTGGCTATCTGTACTGTACTTGAGTAATTATTTTTTCTGCATATTTTTTTATTTTTACTCCTTACATTTTCACACAATTATCTGTACTTTCTACTCCTTATTTTTTAAAAAAAAAAAAAAGGTGTAACGTGACGGTTCGTTCTGTGGTGGATGGATCACTTCAGATATAAAATATAAGCAGGATGCAAACAGATGGCTTCATTAACAGTTCTTCAGATCTCCACACTTTTTACACTTTTCTACAACACTTCCTGGTCTTCACATCACATGTCCCAAATCAACCAATCAGAAGCTAGCTGTGAGGTAAACAAAATAAATGAAACACAAAAGCAGATTCAGCTTACTTAAAACTACTTTAACCATGCTGTTGAACATATTTTAAACTTGTAAATATGTAAATAATAATTTGGCTCATAAATGTAAACAACCACTGTTTAAACAGCCACATTTCTTTTATATTAATCAGCCCAAAAATATAATAACTTCCTTTGTAACTCTTACAAAGGTAAGAAGTAAAAAGTTGTTACTTCTATTTCCTTTTGGCTTGTTATAAAAACTGTCCAGATAAATTGTGCTTCCTGGATAAAGTGAATTTAACTGTGGTTGGATTAAAAGTATAAATATATACCATTCTGACATCCTATTGACTTGTAGCTCACCATCAGAGACACAAATCATGTCACACTCCAGCAGGATATAGCAGACAAAAGTGGCCAAGGAAAATTACCGTGGCAGACATATACGCAGCTAAAATAGTTAGACTAGCACCTCCCAAATTTTTCAACAATAACACTTTAATATGACATAGATATTTATAAGGCTGAGTTCACCTGAAACTCATCAGACTGAAACGTTTCACTAAAGAAGAACCCATCCAGAGGACCTACTTATTTTTTCCTTTTTGATAGATGTTTCAGCCTTTAGAAAAATCGTTTTAGGGAAGGTCACCTTCTAATAAACGCCCATTTTTACTTACTACTTTTACTTGTAATACTTAAGTACGTTTCAAAGCAAAACTTTRCTTTTGCTACTTACAGTAAGTGCTGTAAGTATCAGATACTTTAAACCTTACTCAAGTTACTCAAGTAATATTCTTAAAGGAGACTTTAACTTTTACCAAAGTAATTTTATGGTAAGATACTTGTACTTTTACTCAAGTATCATTTTTGATGTACTTTATACACCACTGTCAGTGTGTGTCAAACAAAAAAAGAAGAAAAAAGTATTCACAGAAAAATAAATGACAATAAAACAAATACAGAAGATCAGGTTAGAAAGCTTTTATTTGGCTATTTATTTTTTCTTGGTGTAGTGAAGCTTGTTTTACAGTTTATATTTTCCTTGAAAAAAAAACATGTGTAAAGGAAACATTAGCTACATTTTTGATCTGTGGGTGTTTTCAAACATTCAAACCAAAATCTGTGACCTGTGTGTTTTTATGCTTTTATTAAATTTCCCTGGACTTTTGTTTCGTCTTGCAGCTCACTGCACGCGCGCCTTTGCATGTGGGCTAGTTTTGTGGTGTGGCGGCTCCTTTGCAATGAACCTAAAGTTGTGTGTGTGTGTGTGTGTGTGTGTGTGTGTGTGTGTGTGTGTGTGTGTGTGTGTGTGTGTCCATGGCAGATGTGTTGACCCCAGTCACGTCGGAGGTTCAGGAGTTGAGAGGGATTTTGTGATAGGGGATCTTTGCAGAAGTGTTTGCCTGTGTGCATCTGTCTCTTTGTGTGCCGTGTTTTTGTAAGCTCCACTGAGTAACACCAGATGTGTCTCAGGATCAGGGTGTCAGCAGCAGCCTCAGAGGGCCTCTCTGGGCTCCGATGCAGAAAAATGGTAACTTCTTCACACATGGCTAATATTACTGTCTCTGAT